TCTTCCAAAGTCAAACCTAAGGTCTAAGTTGCACTGTAGAGGTCCGAAAATCGTAGATAATTCAATCAACCTCGCGTCAACGGTCATCTTACAGCAATCAACAATCAACTACTGAAGCCTCCCCTAACTCATCAACATTGTGTGATCCTCAAATGTGCTGAAATTCCAAATGATGAGCTTAGGGAAACCGTCATTTGTGGTACTTGTTCAGATTGCTCCACACACATGGCGGATATGACGAGCTGTGAGCAATCAAACCTTGCACATTCTGAGGGAGAATTTCAGTTTTCTCCTCCTGGCACCTTACACCGACAAAGCAAGGAATCTCTCAACGGATGCAACATTCTAGGGGGAGTGTTCAATGTTATCCTTCCCGGTGCCTAACAATGTCAAAGCATACCGAGTGCTCCAGTTGAGGGGGAGTACAGAGAGAAAATCAATGAGAGAACATGTTCCTATGGCTTAGTCAACCCAACTAAGCCTACCCAAGGGACAAAGCCGAGAGTAAGTGAGTGAGTGAGTGAGTGAGTAATCATTATGAGAGTTAGCAAGCAGAAGGCTCAAATGAGAAGGAAAACAATAATCAATGATGAGTCTGCTACCTCAATTGCCTGCTATGTATTGAACATTTACTCCTAGCCACTCAAATACTCTAGACAATTCCCAAATAGGTTCAGGACTGATTTAATCAGATCCCGGGTAGAAGCCACTGCATCTTGTCCAACAGTGCATGCTTAACCCTACCCAAGACCACTCACTTGTCTCCCAACAGACAGGTGCTTAATCATATTTCACGGGGAACCGCATCTCTCATTATTGTCTCCTTCCGAGGCAAGTAATACTGACTACAGTGGCCTCAACCCCATGCCACTGAACTTTCGTTGATCACGTCGTGTCTAGTTACTCACTCCCAAATGTTTTGAAATTTTCTAGGACACAGACGCACTTTTTGAGTCAATTGCAGGTCTACATGACCCGCGAGAACTTCCTTCCATAAGGCTCATCTATTACAGATGTAGACCAATGATTGGAAGGAAGTCATGCTGTTGCAACATAAGAATCACCAACATTTTCAGGCCATCGCTTCAGAGTTTATCTCTATAGTGATGATAACGGGCGTCTTCATGACCCCGGGGGCTACGTTATCTTCTTTACATTCTGCTTGTTTTTCCTGTTTTATTTCCGCAGAATAAAAGAATAAAGACATGACGCCCCGAGTTATCGGATCATTATGAGGGGGGGAGTGGTCCACATGCTGTTAACTGTCAAGAAAAATCATTCTGGGACACTTCTCTCCTCCAACACTCTCTCTACTATCTTCGCAACTCAAATGGTCAGCTACGCTCACAAGTAGACCATCATTTTGTTCTCCTCAAACGCATTCACTTCAAATAGTCAAAAAGACTACATTGTGGAGGAGACAAAGGTCAGATACTCATGTACGGAAGATGAATCTCGTGCACGCTCCCTATTCTTCAAAGAATATTCATTCTAGAGGCGTCACCGGACTTCATCCAAGTTGATCAAGAGCAATTTCTGGAAGGCAAGGACTACATGGAAGATACTGAAGATCCCTCAACCCCCGTCATCAAAGAACAAATTGCCAAGAAGAAATCAAAGGGGAGATTGCGAGGATTTATTCAGAAAGCCTTCTTAAGAAGTCAAGTTCAAAGACAAAGGAAGCTGAATAACAACAAAGACAAAGAAACATGTGTTGCAATGCTGATTTAACACGATTGAACACCAAGGGGGAGATTGTTAGGAATATTTTATGGTGTCCAATCTAATTAAATATCTTTGTATTTGTGTAGTTATTAATTAAACGTGTAACACGGGCCACAAATGTGTATCAGCTCGTTAGCTTCTGTGTAACCCGTAAGTTAGCCAACTTCTCCTATAAAAGGAGGCTAACTTACGGGAACCCTAACGTTAGAGGCTTTAGAGTTCAGAGGCATAGAGATAGAGAGATTAGGTTTGCCACTGCTCTCTCTTCTCTGGGAGAGCAGCGGCCAGTTCACGGTATACCAGATTTGGTTTTCATCTGCTATCTTTCTATCTGCTTCTTCTTTAACTGTGAGAATGTTTGATTGTTAGCATACTGGGTTTATCATGGTCTGTGGCTGTTTGAAAGGAATTTGTTGCTTCTTAAGGAAGTTAGGCCGGAAGATATACCTCTTAAAATGATTTTGAATGAGACATAGTTTTGGGTACAAGTTCATAATGTTCCATATGGGTTTATGAATTTAGGAACTGCTAGGAGGGTGAGTATCTATATTGTCAAGTTTATTAGTTTTGATGAGAGTCAGTTTGAAGAAAAGTGGGAGACTTATATGAGGGTTAGGGTAAGCATGGATGTTGGAAAGCCTTTGAAAAAAGGATCAACGCAGAAAGGGGGTATTGGACATTGGGTAGATTTCAAATATGAGAAACTACCTAACTTATGTTTTATATGTGGGGTGAATGGGCATTCTGATAAATTATGTCCCCTGAAATATGAGGAAGACATAGTACTGGAAAAAACTTTTGGGGTGGACCTCTGGAGTGGGGAAGACTAGTAATACATGGGACATAAGTGGATAGTGGGGAGCTCCTCAAGTTCAGGGCCGGTGAAGCAGTAGAGGAAAGCGAGTTAAGAAGGTAAAGGAGGACATGGGTGACGAGAGTCCACAACAGACACAGGTAACAACAAGACTAAAGAAGGAGACATGGGTAGCACTGAGGAGGTGTCGGGGGACCAGAAGCGCAGAAGGATTTGGGAAGAGCAATCACAGGAGGATCCTGGTATCTAGACACGCCGGAATTGTGATGGGTGATTTTGCTCAAGAGGAAGCACCATAATGTTTATTTTATTGCTTTGCTATTTTTTAATTACAATGCTGTTGTTTTTTCTTTATTTTCTTTTATCTGCTGTAAGACTTCTGCATTAGGATTGGGTGACAGAAGATCTGAGTTAACCGTCTTTGGCTCAGTTGTGCCCATTATAGGATCAACGAGTTATATTACTTTTTCGAGAGCTGACAGTTGCATGTGGTCCTTTTGTTGTTTGAACCCCTATATGAATGTTGTGATATCAATATAAGCATCCTTCTTCCAAAAAAAGAAAAAAAGTTTATCTTGGTTATATTACGGGTCTTTTTTCATGAATATTACTCAATTAAATTCAAAATACAAAATTATGACTTATTTTTAAAAAAAAAAAACTAAAAAGTGATATGTTCAATGACTAATTCCGAGTGATCCATCATCTACCAATGATTTGTCATTATGAAATACACTAGTGACTTTTGTTCAGTTACTCGTACACAATGACTAGCCATTTAAGTGTCTAAAAATATAAATAGCCATATTTTGGTTCATGAAAAATCTGTTAGTAATATATCTGTGTCATTTTTTAATATTACACATATTTTTGTTAGGATTTTGTCAAAAATAGTACTAAAAATATGTTATGGACAAAATTAAGATCACTTTCAAAAACTTCCAGAAATGAGAGTAAACTACTTCCAGTGATAATGACGAGTCCGGTGAGTGGCCAATCTATCAATGATCAACTTGACTAACGACCGATCCGACCAGTGACCATGACCATTCCGAATAGTGACCATGACCAATTCGATCAGTGACCAACATGAGTAGTGATTGTGACAAACCCGATTAGTGACCAACCCGACAAGTGATCACCCGACCAACATCATGACCAATTCGATCAATGACCATAACCAATCTGAACAATGCTCAATCCACCGGTGAACAATCAATTACAATTACTAAACGCGACCATCCAATCAACTACATTTATCTGAATCTACCCGTTATAGCTACCCAGATCGGTTAGTTACAGTTACCCTGACTAGTTACAATTACCTGACCAACCAATTACAAATTACAATTACCTGATCCAATAGGGACCACCATTGAAAACCACCTTCAGTCGCCACCGCCGGCCACCACCACTGGCCACTGGCCACCAACCCTAGCCAGTCTTCAACACCACCCCCCTTTCCAATCTACCTCAACCCCCTATCCCGATTACCCCAACTCCCAACCCCACTGCCACCGCTAGCCATTGCTACCCCCGACCACCGTCGCCGCCCCCATGCCCCCACCGCCCCTGCTCAGCCTTCTCCCCCAACTACCCAACCCTCATCCCTTATCCAACCGCCGCTGCCCTAAAGTATTCATCAAATTGGAGCAACCGTCGTCATTTTTCTTAATTGGAGGTAGATGTCTTTTTCGAAGAAGAGAAACATCCTTGCAAATCGAAGTAAGACTTCGTCGCCGCCATATGGAGTGACAGAGTGGGAAATGGATGACGGCTCCATGGGGACAGGCAGTAGGAGCTGTGGTGGCGTTGGAGAAAAGAGATGTGATGCGAGCGATGGAGATGAGATAGGATGGAGATGAGATGTGAAGAAGAAGAAGAAGAAGAAATGTGCGCAAATGTGACAGTCCTATTTTTTTCTTACATCAAAATGATCTTATTTTTGTCTACTCAAAAGTGAAATAATTACATAAATATGACCAAAATAAAGATGATTAACAAAATTATGACTAATGACTAGAGTAGTAATGAAATCATAGTAATTCATATTCAAGTTTTGAGGGGTGTCCCCAATTATGACTTTGATGGATGTTAAGAGATGATGGATTTTGAAATCCGAGAGGAGTCTACAAGATTGTGATTGATTGTTTTTGTATATAGAAATTCATCGAAATCCATTAAAATCCATGCAAATAAGTAACAACAGAAATCCACAGAATATTTCAGGACAACCTTATTTTCATGGATTCCATAAAAATCCAAATCGAGAACACCTCAATTTTGACGGAATTCTAAACTCCATTAAAATCCTTCAGAATCCGAATTGGGAACACAACATTAGTCAGAAAAATTGAAGTCAACCATTCTCGTGTGTACCACAACACTTTATTGTAGTAATGAGTAGTGATTCTAATTTTGTGATTCTTTCTATTTTTTTATCAAATGATAAGAAAAATGGGTTTTAATTTGTAAACTTTCATTCACGCCAAACCTCTCCGGGCCAAGAAAATGTCTACAGAACTACTGTATTTGGAAAGAAGAAAAGGAACTACTAGAGAATTAATATAATGATTTGAGTTAAATTTATACGCTTATAATGAATGAGTGTTTGAATATACATAAACTTTCATGAACTTTAAAAATTTACATTCAATACATATCAATTGGAGAAGTCTTCAATTCATCAATCTCGAACTGGGTGCAAACAAATTGAAGATCGACTACATCCTGAAGAAGAAGAAGAAGAAGAAGAAGAAGAGGATCAAAGTGGTCATTGTAACAACCAGCAATTCTTGAACTGGAGAAACGCACTTTCCCTGAAACTCTTCACTCTCACCAGACAAAAATGGGTGCAGAACAATCCCATTCCCGTCCCCGCCCTCACGCTACTCGTCTTCAACAGATAACACGCGGGCCCACACTCTGCTCCTCTCCCCTGCACCACCACCCCCCATGCCCTACTCACCCCATCCGCCTCTCCACCGTCCCCCCCACCACACCTTCCCTCTTCCTCCGCCGCCTCTTCTTCACGGAGCGCTTCCACGAAGATCAACCCGTCAGGGGTCTTCCTCTCCCCGCTCTCCCACTCCCGCTTCACCGCCGGCCACTCCTCCACGACGGCCCTCTCTGTTCTGGTATCCGCCTTTCCTCCGCCGTCCTCCTCCTCCGAGTACACGTGGACTAGCAGCGGCGCTCTATTCAAGTTCTTAACAATTTCGCCGACCGATCCGCGCATCCACCTATCCAGATTCGCCGCAGCGATTTTATTCTCATTCCCGCCCGCTTCATCTTGGGAGGCGAATAGACCCTTCCGGTCCATCGGCAGAACAGCCCGGAGATCGCACGGCGGGGAGCAGGTCGCGTAAACGCGCTGGACAGGTCTTCTCTTTGAGATTGGGGTAAAGTGAAGCGGGTCGGGTTTGGATCGGAGCGGAGCTCGATTACCGCGAACGAGTGAATATGGGTCGGTGGCGGCCCCGGCGTGAAGATTGAGAGACGCCATCGTTGACCGGAGAGAAGATGAAACTCAAAAAAGTAAGAAACGCCGTCGAGTTTCGCCGGGCGATTTAGGGATTCAGAATCTGATTTGGGGAAGTGTCTGTAACGATTATATAATGAATGTGGTTGCGTAATGGCAGATTGAAGCTTCGTGCGGGCAGAGTATATAATCTGGAAGCCATGCGGCCAGTTGAGGAAGACACGCGATCGCGGCGAGAAATTCATGATTGCCACGCGCTCTGCTCATGTGGACTGCATATCTGGCACATTCTTTGCGATGACACGGCATTTTTATTCCACGTCATCAGATTTAATTTCTTTGTTCTGTCCGGAGCATTTGATAAAAAGAGATTGGTTTCCCGGCTTTCCTCTTTCCTCTTTCCTCCTTCAAATAGATAACCTCGTTTTCTTCAAGAAAAACTAAAAAAAGATGCGTAGTACCAAAATCCTCGGACTAGATAATACTCCATCCGTCCTTCAATATTTTGTCAAGTTTGATCGGCACGTGAATTAATAAAGTAAAAACTGTGTGGTTGAGGTTTGTTCAGAGGAGAGAGAATTAACTGGAACCACAAATTCTTTACTTAAAAGAGAAAGTAACAAAGTTAATGGGACATCAAAAAAAGGAAAGTTGACAAAGTTATAAGGAACGAAGGGAGTAATGGTTAAAACTTATCAAATCGGATGTCTTGATATATTTAGGCAACATTGAATCATGTAAAACATTAAAACCCATGTATAATGTGAAGTTGTAAACCAACATAATTATGAAATACTTCGAAGAGTAATATTTATTAGGAAAAAATGATAAACATAATAAACAATTTTTCGTTGTTCATCTCGAAATAATCCGACATTTACGTGATTTCAGAATAATTTTATCTTTGCATTTCATATTCTTCCATTGATTCCTAAATGATTGATGACATCGTAAACATTACACAAATAATTCCGCTTTTTACAAATCTTCTCAAAACAGTTTAATGTTTCATTTTTTCCTTTTCCTCCCCAAATAATTTTCTTAATATTTTCTTAATTTTTTGTTTTGTTTCATTTTTCATATTTTTAGAGGGAGTTCAATAGTTCTACAAAACAGCCCCCAATTTATGAAGCCCCAATTTCTTAAATTTTATTAATATTATATGGTAATATTATATATTAAAATAGAGTTAGTAAGGAATAAATATACAGATTCATCACTTTTTCATCAATTCTTTTAGTCCTCTTTTACTCAAATTGCTTGAGTAATAAGTTGTGTTATTTTAAATCAAGTATTAAGTACTACCTCCGTCCCGGAATTATCTCCTTATTTGACTGGGCACGGGTTTTAAGATAGTGGAAAATGTGTGGTGGAGTGTTGTGCCAAGGAAAGAGAAATGTGTAAGAATGGTTGTGAACCACAAATTCTTTGCCAAAAAAGGAAAGAGAGGAAAAATTTGGGACGGACCGAAAAGGAAAGAATGAAGATAATTTCGGGACGGAGGAAGTAACTTTTAAAAATAGTTTTATTACAATATTTAATGAGTATTCAATTGATTTGAATATATGTATTTAAATTGAGATTTTTTTAAACTTTTATATTAATGTTGGGCCTCAATTTTATATTGTGGAAATTACCCGCACAGTCTTCTTTTATAAGCCATATATCATTTATGTCCGTACCACTTTTTCTTTTCATTCCTAAACTTCACCATTTTCAATTTTGAATTTTTAATTCAATTTTAGACCTCCTCCTTTAAACCTTTCTTCTAATCTTCTCCCACTCTTTGACTTCTGTCTCTTCCACATCCGACGAAAGGGGTTCGCATCTCAGCTTCGACAGGTTGCGATTGAATGCTTTCGTCAAGATCAAGTTGAAGAAAGGACTCGCGAACACCTCTATCATCTCTGCCTTGTCGACGGAATCTCTGAATATCCAGGGCATAGAGATTCATAAGCCTCATTTGGGAAGCGAATCGTGATAGCAAAGTGCGTCACCGCTGCGAATTTGGGAAGAACGTAACCCCCGAAAGTAACCTCTTTCATTCTCTCTACCAGCAATTAAAACTCCTAGCAAGTAATGCCTTCATCTCTTTGTCGTTTTTCTTGTTTTCATCAATATCTTTTTAATTAGTTTTAGTAATATTGCAATTATTTCATGATTTGTGTTCTACAATCCCAGAATAAGATTGCAGAACCATTTGAATGCTTTGGTACATATGAATGAGCGTGAACGCCGTGAAGTATAGATATAAATTTTTATGTTGATATAAAACGTTTGTGAAGTGGATCCATGTTGGAAGTTTGCAAGTAAAGTGTGAGAAAATTCATCATATTAGTACAAATCATCATCTTTTGCTTTAATAGATTAGATGGATGAAATTTTACTCATGACTAAACACGCATGAGTGGGCATGACTACAAGGAGGAGAAAATCACTCTTCCTTAGATTGTAAGTCTTAGTCACTTTGGAATTGTCTAAGAATATTTTATTTGAATATCCCTTGTATGTGCTTCCATTGTTGCTTCTCTAACAATTTTATCTCTTTTTACCAATCATAACAAGATCACTATTGGACACCACCTGTACAAGAAATTTGTTTTGAATGTTCGTAGATTATTTTCTTGCTCAATGCATAACAGTCCTACACCATGAGTCATTATTTCAAGTCATAATTATGAATCTGCTGAAAATGTATTATGTGTGAGCTCAACTAAACGGCATGTAGTGTGATGTTGTGAACTATGAATTTTGTTAGCTTTAGTTTGATAAAAACTTTAAATGTATTCACTTAGCTATCAACATCAGTTTTCTTCTTACATTCATGCCTAGTGGAGCATTTAAAAAAAAATAGAAATGAAGATCTTTGTTGTATTGATTCCTCCTCACCAAGAGAGAATCCAACAAAAATACCAGGTTTGAGCACCAGGTTTGAGCACAAGCTTCACTTGACTACCTATTTCTTCTCTTGACTTTGATTCCACTGAATCCTATTTATACTCCTACTACTTTGCTTGAATGCCAAGCCTGACACTTTCTTGACCACAGACTTGAAAGAACAAGAAGCCTAAACCCAATGCGAATACAAAACCATCTAAGCTACTTTTTATTTTTATATAATATAGAACCATTTATGAGTTATGATAATACTACTAAAGCTAGGGTCGTTATGATTTTGAAATTGCTACTCCATGTCTCCCATAATTATTATTTTTTCCATTATTAGGTAAAACAGGGGCTTCCTACTACGTATAATTCTACTTGTTTCAACAATAAGTTAAACAGCTGTATGAAGAGAGCACTTTTGATCAATACTCATCAGCCAATCTCGTAGGTTCTCAGTCAATTTGTCACTGGTAGCAACACCATTAGTATGCTCTTGGATCCTTCACCGGTCCTAGCTTTTTGAGTGGCACCACCACCACTTTATTGTAGTTTCCCATCGTGAATGTACAGAAACTAGACAAAGTATGAATTCATTGGACACTTGTACATAATGTAATTAATATTTTTTCTTTTGTTGCATTATGTTGCATTTTGTTGCATTTTGTTGCATCTTGTTGCATTATGTTGCATTTTGTTGCATCGTTATTTTTTTATTACATATGATATCAATGTGTTTCTATTTGTTTATAACTTTAAATTTTTTGTTTCTTATTGTTTATTCTTGTTTCTTGTTTATATCCTGTTTCTTCTTGTTTCTATTTGTTTCTTTGTCACATTATGTATTACATTGTTAATTAGATTGTGTTGTAGTTGCTCAAATAAAAGGAAATAGAAAAGTGACACCACAAAACAAAAAGCAACTACATACAAGAACTATAAACAAAAAAAAAAACAAAATGAAACAACATACAACAAAAAGAAACAACAAAAAGAAACAACATGCAACAAAAAGAAACAAAATAAATAAATATAATATGTACAAGTTTGTGATGATAAATACATCTTCAATATATGATAAGAAGTTCAGAACTATCATTACAATCTCATCGCATATAACGTTTTTATAAGCAATGCAAACCAAAGCTTCTTACGTATTCAATATACGATCAGATCAGTACTTCAGAACTATCATTACATTTCTTCTACCATTTGCATACTTTTCCTATACCAAGATGCATGTAGTAATTCCGTTGATCACTAATTTTTTCTACTACTTAGAAATAAGAAACCAACATACATATATATAAACAACTACTCCGTCTAATGAAAAAAAATGGATTTATGAAAATCAACAACAAAAAACACAAATAAACAACAACAAGAAAACAAAAAAAATTCAAATTTATAAACAAAAAGAAACACAAGGAAACAACATTCAACAAAAAAAACAATAGCATGCCCTCGTGATAATAATTCTTTACATTTTGTAACTAAAAATATTAAATCAGAAAATTCACATTATTTTTACAAATTTTCCCATCATTTACACATTTCATACATGGTACTTTTCTTAATTTTTCAGATTTTCTAATTTTGGATATTTTGTTTTTATATTTTTTCACATGTTTATTTTGGATATTTTTATTTGTTTATATTTTTCTAAACCAGTCTAAACATTTTGAGTGTTTTTTATTTTGTTTATATTTTTTACTTTTGATTTTTATAATTTTTTATTTTTCGGTTATTTAAAATTTCTATGTATATATTTGCATTTATGGATTTTTCTAATTTTTATTTTAAAAATGTTTACTCTTTCAAAATTTCTAATTAAGTTTGTAATTTTTAATATTTTCTAAAATATTTCACTTTATTTTATATTTTATTTCTTATACGAGTATTTTTTAAGATTTTAGATATTTTAACATTTAACTTACCTTTCTTCCAATTTTTTTATATTTAATATTTTCGTTTTGGTTTTCTATTAATTTTGTAGAAAATTGGATTTTCTTTATACTTTTGACAGCTGTAATATTTTGTTATATAAATTACCAGATATATGACCTCTTTTTTAAAAAAAACATTACAAATTTGATAATATTTTAATTTTGTTACGTTTTGTTTTGTTTTGTGTATTTATATGTTTTCATTACATATTTTTAGATTTTTCTGATTTATTTTTTAAAGTTTAAATACTTTCTTTATTTTTTAAACTTAATTTGGAACTGATTATCTTCGTCTTTTTATTATGTACTTTTGGTTTTATCTTACTTTGAGTCTTTTTATACTTTTATTATATTTTGTATTTTAGTTTCACTGTTTTATTTTTTCATTTTGTTTTACGATTTCATAATTTTGTATTTTTTATTACTATTTAAAAAGTTGAATTGAACAAACACTGGAGTTTGTATTTGTTTATCAAAGGCGGTGATCTTCCAAACGAAATGATCAAAGACGGAGTAGAAAGCGACCAATGTGTGTGCTTTGGATCGGAATATAAACTGCAGTAGAGTAGACACGGTCTATTTTTGAAAAAAATAAATTAGATGATTTATTTTTGAAAAAAAAAACTTAAACATGAAAAAGTTGATATTATTTGCATTTTTAGGTTTAGTTGTGAAAATTTCCCTTTTATATTTGGAATTCAGACCTCCAAATTCATTAGACTGTTCTGATCATTTTCAAGAGCTTTCTCCCATTCTACTTTTTATTACAACTTTGCAGTCTTCTTTGCTACTTGTACCCACCTCTGTGGCCTGTGCGAGTATTTTTTCACACGGACAAAATACACATGTTTTGGTAATGTGCGTATAATGTTTTTTTTGTTATATACGTAGTATAATTTTTATGTTTTATATCATTACCCTGACTTAGTACCTTGATTTTGTAATCTATTTTCAAAATGTAACCTGTTTTAAGAAAAGTACAAAAACCAAAACCGCTCAGTGCCTCAAACTCATTCATATCTTTGAGGAACCAGAATCAGTTTGGACTGGTTTTTAGACATTAGAGTACTAGTTCAGAGTATCAATTCCAGTCCGAAACTAAAAAACGAGTGCCAGTCAGCCAGTGTGCCCCTTCAGTTCCTTTAGCCGACCAATTCTCATTCATCCCGGAGGTCGGAACAATGTATACCCATACATGGCCACATTACTAGTTTACTACAGCAAAACATTATGTGATTATCTATGAGAATGTCATGAATTCATGATCAAACCAAATGTTACTAAATTACAATATTTTTGGCATTTTCCAATGTTAATCCTATAGTTCAAAATCATGTGACCTCAATGCAAACTCTGCCTGACTGTGAAATGATACATTAAACATCTAAATTACAAAGCATGTTCTAAAATAAAATAAAATAAAATAAAATAAGACATGAAAAGTGGATCACGAAACAAGATCGGAAAGGTAAGAAGTGAAACACGAAACTGCTTCCTGTAGATGGCATTTCCGAAGGTCTTCAGAGATGGGCGCCTTAAACACAGTATCAAAACACCACATTTGAACCTCTCTTGTCGAACCTTCACAGGTATGGGATAGAAGCAGGTTGCATATTTCCTCACCCATCATTGAATATACAACCCTGGTTTATAAATAAATAGATTTTATTGGTACATTAAATAAACAAATAGACTTCATTGGATTGAAATTGTCATTGTACAGCTGTTAAATATGAAATAATAAGCCAACAAATAAAAGTATGGATTGTTTCTGTCAGATTAATTTGTTGAAATGGTACTTCAAGTCTTAATAACTGATCAGATTACTGTTGGTTTTTTGCTAGACAGTCATGATTTGGAGTAAACCCTTTGGTGTCAATTTACCCATTCATCCGAACTCATCAAGTTGTCTAACACTATGTGGGAGAGGGCATCTTAAAGTCTTCATTCTACATCTATTATTATAAAATAATCAATCAACATATAATGGGTTATTCTTTCTATCACATTAACTTTTTAATACAGTTTAGAAGTACACTTCTCATTTCTCAATATCAAAAGAATAAGTAGATCTTGACTTACTTAGCTGTTTGGCTCCGAATGCTTTTCATTTAAAAAACAATAATTTCAGCCATTTCATTTCAGCGAAATATATATTACGATAAGGGCCCTACTTTATGGTATAAAAAGAGGCCGTACTAATAATTTGTTTTTCTACCGTCTTATGAGGTTCATGTTCGAAGAAAAGAAAGGATAAAATGTGAAATATTGGGTTAAACGTGGAGTGAAAATCAGGGTAGTCAAACTCAAGATCCTATGTAGGATCGGATTGGGGCCTAAAGATTGTAAATCGTAGGATCTAACTCGATCGTGTGATCCTACATATACATATGCATGTGTGTACATATAAGCTGGATACTAAACTAATACACTAAAATGACACTCAGTAATATACTACTCCGTATTAAACAAAAGTAATAAATCAAACTATAAACTAAAATATTATTTGGCGTGATCGATTCATGTTAGCTGACCCTAAAATTTTAGGGGACTAAGGCTTGGATGTTGTTGTTGTAATACAACAACAACAACATCCAAGTTTTAATCCCAAAAGAATTTGGGATCCGCTAACATGAATCCTAGTTAGCTTTTTCCCGTTTTAAACGCGTTTTAAACACGTACCGTTTTTTTGAACAAAAAAACACGTTTAAAACGAAAAATAATGTTGGTCCATTTAAAAAGGAAAAAAACTCTTACTTCCTGTATAAAACGCATTTTTCCCGTATTTTACTAAAAATAGAAATATGAATTGTTCAATTGAATGAACGCATTAAATGCATAGGAGATCAACAATAGTGTAAAAGAAAAAAAGAAAAGCTCCTCTCTATGAGCTCGTGTTTTTGTATTCTTACAATACAATTATTAAGCACTAAAGTTAATTGCATGACAGCTAAAGCAAGCATCCCATATTTTAGAAAAAATAAAACATGAATTGATCAATTAAATGAATGCATTAAACGCACAGAAGATCAACAATATTTGAAAAGCAAAAAAGAAAAGTCCATCTATGTGATCCCATGTTTTTGTATTGTTAAAATACAATTATTAAATACTAAAATTAATTGTATTTTTTCCTCATGGTTTTGTATTTTTTTAATTGTGACCCCATGTTTTTGTATTTTTGTATTGTGACCACATGTTTTTGTATTTTTTCCCCAAAGAGAATACTAAAATTAATTGCATGACGGTTAAAGCTAGCATCCTAAATGACTAAAACTTAAAATACTACTACATTTCTGATGTTTTCCCAAACAAGCATGTCAAAATTAAAGTTTTTCTAAACCTGACATTTTTTTGTATAAATTTTTCCACATAAACAATAACAATAAGCGCGTGTAGCTGTCGCACAACTTTTCTCATATGTATCTGTCATCTTAATGAAAATGATGAATTCAAATTGAGTGTTATTTGATGAACATATAAAGATAATGATTTTAACTTAGTTCCATTCTATTTTTTTATGTCTTATTTGTTGACATTAGTTGCAAAATCATGTCTTGAACTTTCATTTCATTTTCATTTTGTCGTGGACTTGTGCAATTATGAATTATTCTTTTATGCAATAATGAGATTTGCTACTTTAAAATGTGTATACTTTTATTTCTTTTTACTATATATGTTATTTTGTGAAGTATATAATTTAAATATTCAAAATAATAGCCCGTATTTTTTGTCCGAATTTTTGTAACAGATACCGTATTATACATGTATACGTATTCACACGTTTTTAAAAAGTCAACGTTTTTTTCAACGAATTTTTGACCGTTTTTTCAGTAAGGTTACCGAATTAAATGTGTACGTATTAAACCTCGTTTAATTCCCGTACCGTATTTAACTAACTATGACATGAATCAATCTATGATATCGGTGCCAAACAGAGAAGACAAGAAAGAAAGGGAAGAAAAAAAGTAAGATAAAACGAATAAAATAAAGATAAATAAATATAAGATAACAATAACACAAGAATATAAGAAAGATAAAAGATAAAAAAATAAAAGAGCATAAAAAAGCTAGAAGATAAAAATAACATAAGAATATAAAAAGATAAAGAAGATAAACAATAAAATAAAAAAGAGATAGTATTAAACTAAAATATTAATATAGTAGTAATAAACTAAAGTAGAAAACTAACATAATATAGTAATAAACAAAGTAATAAATACGTTACAAGAATCGTACCGGACCACCCGGCTCGGGAACCGGTCCGGTAGAGTCCAAATCCGTAAATGTGCCTAAAACCAGAAATCAGCGAAAGCTTGTTAATGAACCGGATTCCTCAGGTAAAAATTCTAAAGCCAAGGGGTTTCTAACCAGGGAAGTCTGCTTGGCTACACACGCATCTCCATCTGTGCTACTTGGCGGATATGTCCATATGTTGCTATAGTCTTCTTTATACTTTAGTTACTTAACATTTTAAAGCTTACAATTATTATTATTATTATTATTATTATTATTATTATTATTATTATTATTATTATTATTAGCAATCTTAATAATATTATTATTATTGCTACTACTATACTCATAAATACTCATATAATAAACTTATATTTATCAATAATATTTATAATTTTTCTACTTCGTATATAAATATTATTAGAACATCATGTTCACATATTATATATCTAATTCCCAACATGTTTAACTTTATGATTTTTTTTATATTTGGTACATTATTTTTTATTCTTATAACTATTATTAAATTATGAATGAGGGTAATTTTTAACCTTGCATCTTTAAATTAATACTATTCATGTATTTTACTTTGACTACATTTTATTTATTAATGTATGTGAATTATTTTTTTTGAAAAATATTGTTAAATTCGTCTCATTACTAAGTTTTATAATCTGATTTTTATTTTATTTTTACTAATATAGAATTAAATATAATAACGGTCAAAGTTGTGCTTTGACAAACGTGAAATGTTGACTGTTGCAACTAAAAAGAGACGGAGGAAGTATACATTTATACATCTTTATGGTTTACTTTTTAATAAATATTGACCAAACTGACCCTCTCGGGTCTGGGTTGACCCTTGACCCGGTCATTTGTCCGGGTTGCCGACCGGTCCGGTTTTGATAACACAGAGTAATAATATAGTACTCTGTATTAAACAAAAGTAATAATATAGTACGAAGTAATAAACTAAAGTAATATAGTAAAAAAATCCAGAGGAATAACATAGAATTACAGAAATAAACAAAAGTAATGTGTAGTACACTGAACGTGCATAGAAAAAAAAGTAAGAATAATATAAATAAAAAGTAATAATAATACCACCTCCTTCCCTTAAAACTTTGTCCACTTTCCTTTTTTAGTTGTCCCACTAATTTTGCCACTTTCTTGTTTAAGTAAAGAATTTGTGGTTTCAATAAATTCTCCCTCCTCTGCACAAACCTCTACCACACAGTTTTTACTTTATTAATCCCCGTATCGGTCAAATTTGGCAAAGTTTTAAGGGACAGTTTTTACTTTATTTAATCGCAATACTCAATCACAGCCCAGGGTAACAAGTAGAGTTGAAGTGGGTCTACACTTCTACTACGATACTAAGCCAAAACACAAATAAAGGGAAGAAGCGAGAAGGGATGATGGAGGTGATTTGGAATACTTCTCACTTATAAATATTATTATTCCCTCCGTCCCTTAAAACTTTGACAACTTTCCTTTTTTGGTTGTTCCACTAACTTTGCCACTTTCCCTTTTAAATAAAGAATTTGTAATTCCAAAGTGCACAAACCTCAACCATAAAGTTTTTATTTTATTAATTCCCGTGTCAGTCAAACTTGGTCAAGCTTTAAGGGACGGAGGGAGTAAGTGATATACGTGTTCCTAAAAATCCCACAACTTCCTGTGCATCAGAATTCCTTTCCTACGCTTTCTGAAGTTTGAGTGTTTCCCGACATTTAAGATAAATGAACCGCAATTCTAGGAACCTACAGATTTATGCGGCGATCCATGTGATCCTGCTCAATTTGAGATATTTTGTAGAAACAAGATTGTACAATCCACAATCTGGATTTCGACTACCATGGTGAAAATACCTAATGCATATCATCGTACGAAAACCCCATATGTAGCTAGGCACTCTTAGACGGCGGTGGACTAGGCCCCACCTGAACGTCTAGTGACTAAAATAACGGAAGGGTATGGCAGTAGAGTAATTAAATATTAAAGAGAAACTCAGAATACAAGCCATAACCAGATTGAAATAAAACTAGCACCATACCTTGCATCAAGAGGTAGTTTGTTACTCCAAACAACCAGAGACTCATTTAAGTGACTAATAAAATCTGCACATGCACTGTTTTTATTCTCTAGGGAGTCCTGCCACACACAAAAAAAATGTCAGTCGGTTGTTTGTCAATTGTAACTTTAAAGACAAGGATGAAAATAGCATATAAGCAATAAGATTATCGAGAATCAAGACAAGGATGAAAATAGCATATAAGCAATAAGATTATTGAGAATCAATATGTATACAAGATCGAGATTTAGAAAACTATCCATTTACTCAGTACAGCAAGACTTTCAGATTTACTTCATTCACATATAGAAGAACACATCACTCTTATCTAGGCACAATTGATTTATTTAAATACATACTGCCTCCTATTCAAATGAGAATAATTTCCTTAAGAGTATGTTTGAGAAAATGGCTTTGGAGGGGATGGGTAATGTTTAACTAAGTGAAATTTATATATGGTTTATGATGACAAATAAATGCAAAAAACACTGGGATTAAACTAATTGATCATCATATCTTTTATTATTAAAAATCATCACATTAAAGCATTATTTCTTATAAGCACGCCTTCCCCTTCAAAACCTTCCATAAAGAAAAACTCCCAAACATACCCTAACAAAAGTATGACTGCATTTTTTGTGGTCATGTTCCTATAACATTAGCATCTTATCAATGTAGTTATGGAATATTTTCAGTGTTGTTTCAATGTTTCAGCTAGACTATTATTCTATCTCCACTTTGAGGTTTATGTAGGTGCATTATATCGTAATTATGCTCCCTCTATCCCACAAAGATATTCCCCTGTTCCATTTTAGGTCATCCCATAAACTTGCCCACTTTTCTTATTAAATGTGCATTTACTTTTCAATTTCTAAGTTTACAACAACAACAACAAAACAACAAAATCACGTCAAAATTTGCATAGACTGGCTACGGCTTTATAACAGAAAAGCGCAAACAGTTTACCCCTGCTTAATTACCCACAACAACAACAACAACATCCAAGTCTTAGTCCCAAAAGATATTGGGGTCCCTGCTTAATTACCCACAATAAAATAAAATACTACACATACATGGGGGGGGGGGGGGGGGGGGGGGTAACTATTGACTCTACGAAGGATATAAAGGAGAGTTGCATATACAATGAATTCTTCCTAACTGACTTTGAAAGAAAGATGCATAAGAATCAGTAATCACAACATAATACATATTACCACTTCATTCATTGTGTCGTTATCTTCCTTCAGTGAACTTCTTAACAAATAGAAGGATAGATATATTCCAGCTCCTAAGTCCCAATCTTCAATTTCTTCCTTGTGACTCTCCATGGATGTCGCAATCCTAAATATTTCAAGGTGGTCCCCTAAATTCATCAAGCGCCATAAACGTTAACAACCGTATATGCCAAGAACTTTTCTTGATTAGTGATAGGTGTCATAGGCAACAACAGTTTTAGACAACTAATTAACAATTTATCAAAAAAATGAAGGCAAACTAAAAATAAGTCTAAAATGGGCAACCCGATGCACATTGGCATCCCCACAATGCGAGAGTCCGGGGAAGGGTCTCACCACAAGAGTGGGTAAGAAGCAAACTTGCCCTTGTCATTTTGACAAGAGACCGCTTAAAGAACTTGAACCCACGACCTCTCAGTCGCACAGCAACATTGTAACCAATGTGCCAGGCTTCCCTTAAAACTAAAAATAAGTCTACCTGATAAATATAGAGAGTGAGCAACAGAAGTCATGAAAATGGTATGCGACTTCTGCCAGTATCCACCACACTTAAGAAAGTGTTCGAGAGCTTTTGAGCAATCACCAAGGTAACTGTAATACATTGCCTGCAATACAAAATGGGAAAAAAGCAGTACTCAACAGAGTATCAGGATATGAAGAAATCTGATTGTGCATGAAATAGATTATCCAGAAAAAAAGCAGTACTCAACAGAGAATCAGGATATGAAGAAATCTGATTGTGCATCAAATAAATTATCCAGAATGTACAATGACGTTTATAAAGGGAGTGGAGAGAGAGCAGTGATACTGCATTTGCATTTCTCCTAATGAATAGTGTTGGACACATTATGAGTAGTAAGTAAAATAAGGAATTTATGTTAAACTACATCTACTTCCCCCGATATTTTCTCAGAAATCCATGAAAATTCAAATATCCTACCAATGAAACTGATAGGTGATAAAAAATAACGATATAAGTAGGAATTGAACGTTGCATGACTAAATTGCTCTTCATTGGTGCCAAAAGTTGAAGTTTTACAAAAACAACAAATCAACCGATAAGAAGCAATAAAAGTACAAAATTCAGTCCAACATACTGTTAATATACAGTATGATATTCCAGTGCTAGAAGTGTCATTCATACTTCAGGGAACATTTTAGTGAAACCAAATCGGACAAGATTCGAATGTAAATAACTGAGTTCATTAGAGGGAACAACTTTAAATTCAATATCAAGAGAGTTTTCTGACCAGTGCTTCGTGTATCCAAGGTGAAGGAATGCCCAAATCCTCAATCAACTCCCGCTGTGAATCCTTAGAACTCCAAGCTTCACAATATTGGAAAAGGATTTCCCTAATCACATTGGCATGCAAATATGGGAAATCATCACGGTAAGGCATGTGGAGCGCCACATAGATGGCCCAATGGCATTGCCCAAGACAAAGCAGTTGGGATATAAGTCCCATGTCTAAAACATGAAGATCATTAGAGTTTACAACGCCAACTGCTTCCAAAACTGCCCTTTGATGCCAGATCATATGGTAGTCAAGTGGATCATTTGTTGACGCAAAGGCACTAAACATGGCCTTCAAAACACCATAGTCAGTTTCTTGATTGGCATGAAGCAGCATGAGATAATAAGACAGGTCATACTTTTCCTCTTTATATGAATTCAGAGACTCTTCTTCAACTGATCCTTCATCGATGTAAATGGGAACTGGAGATGGAGCTTTCCCTTCATTGAGAAGTTGTTGATAAGAACGAAAAACAAGTGGCAATGAAGTATCAGGTGAGAGGTTATACCACATCAACAGTCCCAAAAATCTTTTCCAATCTATATTCACATCCTGTAATGCTAAATGGATGTCTCCAGCAAGCAACTGGAAAATTCTAACTCTTTCCATCTCAACAAAGCTAAAGTCCAATCCATTTATTCTCCAAATTTCAATTTGCTGATTGATATCAAGACGACTCTCGGTGAATCCGCCAGCCTGGCTCAAAAGGCAGGCTAGCCTGACATCTCCTCTAGAAGCAGCAAGATCTGTAGCAGCATCCAGCTGCCTACCCGTTAGCAGTAAGAATATGTGTTGAAGCTGACCGGACTCGTCCAATGAGCTCACTTCCTCTTGTACACGATGACAAACGCTCTCCTGCAACCAATAACTGAATTCTGCCCTTCGGATCAGTGGAAGTGCCTCAGTGTCCACATCTGGTGTGCTTTCTCTCCCTTCATATATCATTTCTTTCTCGCTGTCATTATCTTCCTGAGATTTTAGTTTCCCACTCACTTTCCTAGAGGAAAAGAGGACTTTAATTAGTTCCCAAACCATCACTTGGTGAACCAACACCATACGAGAAGAGAGTGACAATCCAGGAATCTCCAATTGATCCTCAACAGTTTCAATGTAGCTTCTGCAAATGTCTGGAAGGATAAAACTGTCACATATGAGCTTTTGAAGCTTCAAACTGCAATTCCCCACCTCAACCTCTTGTGTTTCATGATTTATTTCCTTGTGCAGGTTCAGAGGGGAAGCAAAGAAAGAATCTACAAGTTCATGCCTGATTCTATTATTTTCATCTCTTGCTACTTTGTCAAAGGAAACTTTTTCTAAGTTGATTACAGAAGATATTATGGATTCATTAGAGCCAATGGGTGCACCAGAATGAACAAGGATACCATTAGGCCCCCAACCTACTCGAAACGATCTTCCCATGAACAATGCAGAATCGACCACATTGCAAGAATGACTGCTCGTCACAGGAGTTTGCTGCTTGGCTTCAAGCTTAAACCCTTCAGCATTTGTTGACTTGAAGTGGACACTGTTGTTTTTTTGAAGCATTAGTCTAGAACCAGGAGAGCATGAGCCAAAGCTACTAGTTGAGTATTCAATAAGAGCTAAAGGTGTCTTGCGAATCAGGTGGGGGTTACTTTTCTGAAACCTTGAAGATTCTCTGCTGAATAGTGGTCTCCTGTTCAAGGGAAGACGACTATCATCATTACCTAAATCCGCTTCTTCTCCCAGAGATGGAAACATCAACATTCTCATTTCATTCATCTTGATGGGATCAAGCCCGAGATGAGCAGGAAGAGAATGGGAGAGGAGAGTAGTATCCGTCAAGGAGGTTTCTACATCATCAATATCTGAAACCTCGACTCCGTTCACATGCAATGGCAGTTGAACTTCTGTAGACACATCATCCATAGTGATATCTTCTTCATCATCATCAATCAAACCAAATCTGCTGAAGTGTTGAACCAAGAATTTCCATTCACCCGTTTTTCTGTCATAAGAAATGAAATGTGCTCCTTGTCTCTTTGTTTTCAGTTGCAAATTCTCTATAATTTTTCTTAATGTTTCATTGTTCTGATTTAAGAGTCCAAGTTTCAGTGATAAGGTTACTTCAGCTGGCTTATTAAGCCCCATACCAACTGCAGGCTTTAAGCTTTCATCTTCATACACAACAACTTCATGTTTCCTAAACTTGACGATGTCATCAAGATCCAGCCCTCTAATGTCAGTTTCTCCAATAAATCTAATACATCCATAACCAATCCTTCCAACAGTAAAATCTACAACTCTACTGCAATAACCAGGTCTTGAAGACTCTAGGAATGCCAATTCACTCAAACAGGGTATAGTAAAATAGTCGGCAGAATGTAGGGTAGGTAAAGAAGAGTTAGTGTCAGGTAAACCCTGACCCGAATTTTCCCCATTGAAAGAAACCCTTCTTCTTTTGCATTGAAATTCGGGTAAGTGAAGAAGGTCAGTAGAACCCAAATCAAATCTCATTCTCGAATCCCTGAGACCAAATACATGAAGAGAAGTGAAACCTAATTACATGAATAGCATGAATGCATACATTCGGTGGGACAATGATGGATAAAACATACCTTTTCTGAATGGAGGGTGATTTGAGTCTATGTTATGAAGCTCAAGAGCTACCCGATTCAGTTTCAGACCCGTAGAAGCTCAACCTTTCTCCTTTTTCTTCGGTGCATCTCCGCGCGCCTATTGTTGTTGCTAAGCGCACCCAATTTGCCAGGTTATTGGACAATTATGTCCTGCCGTGTTGCTAAGCTCAACCTTTCTCCTTTTTCTCCTTCTATTTATCCCGTTTATGGGTTAACTTTTATCCAAAGGAAACTTTTTATTTCTTGGGTTTAATTGTATAATAACATTACCAGAAAAACATTGTTTAGCTACAAAAATTAATGACCATTTAAAAAACCTCTCATTAGTAGCATCTTTTTACAGCATTTGTGAGGAGAAAAGTCCTCTAAATAAAGGGGGTGTCCCGGATTATGACTGTGATGAGTCTACAAGATTGTAGTGCATTGTTTTTGTATATGGAAATCCACCGAAATCCATTAAAATCCATACAAATAAGTAACAACAGAAATCCACAGAATGTTTGAGGACACTCTTATTTTCATGGATTCCACAGAAATCCAAATCGAGGACACCTGAATTCCAATAGAATTCTAAACTCCATTAAAATCCTTCAGAATCCGAATTGGGGACACCCCCTAAAAAATTTCTTTTGATAAGGATTTAATGGTAGCTTCTTTAATCGTACTCTCGTAATTGAGCGGGGGGGTTTGTACCCGCACGGGTAACTCAATTGGTCGAGTGGTGATAGATTTGGATCAATGGACGAAAGTTCGAATCTCCGCAGCGACCGGGTGGAGGTCACAGAATCTGAAATAAGGATAGGCCTCTGGTGCGCACGGGTGTATAAGCAGGGCCGGTCCTGGGGCATGGGCAAAGGGGCTTGCGCCCAGGGCCCATTGCTCCCCCGAGGCCCATAAATTTTCCAGTTATGTAAAGGAATATTTTGGTCAGTCCAAAACCGCCGTAAGGCCAATCTCGTTTGAGAGCCTTTTGGGTTGATTTTTTAATGAAATTTTGTGAGCACGTTGTTCATGAAATGTAAAACATTCACATAAAAGTTCATAAAAAATTAAAATGGGAGTCAGTTAAATAAATTCTTCAAAAACACTGCGCAAACATATGCATAAAAATCGCAATGTTTTTCAACAATTTATTTAACTGATTTTCAAATTGAATTTTAAGCTGAAATTTTGAGCGAATGTGTTACACTTCATGACGAACATGTTCATAATATTTCATCAAAAAATGTAACTCGGAAAGCCCTCAAATAGGCTTGGCCGCAAAGCGGTTCTGGTCAGTCCAAACTGACCAGAATTATATATATATATATATATATATATATATATATATATATATATATATATATATGTGTGTGTGTGTGTGTGTGTGTGTGTGTTTGTATTTTAATATATAAAAATTAAAAATAAAATCAAACTTATAATTTTTTCATTACGTTCAATTTTGTATTCAACATCTACGAAATACAATTCTAAAATTTTGAAACATCTATACCAGAATTGTTTGTGAACAAATTTAACACTTTCTTTTGATTCATTAAGTGTACGTTAGCACATAAATGTCAATATTTTCATCTACTTCTCTCATGTAAACTCATGACTCATTGATAGTATTTTGCTAATTTTTCTGTTATCTCATGTAAGTGAAAGATTAAATTAGCGTACCCAGGATTTAGAAACTGACAATTTGTTTTAGTCTAGTGAAAATGTGAATCAAGATGTGAAAATTTTACTCTATAAACGATATAACTTTCACGTCTTTCCCCAATTCAAAATTATGTACTATTAACAATCGTTCTACTTTTCCATTGAGCCGTTTTCGTACATTGTATTCTCAAATGTCAATTATCAAATACTTAAATATAATCTCTCTAACCGTTCTTTATTAATTTCTTTGATATGTTATACTCGTATTTGAATGAAAAAAATGCTAAATATACTTAATTATAGTTTTTTATAAAAAATATAAAAATTCATACGTTGTCCTTAAGTCTTATTCTATATGTATCGCCCCGGGCCATAAAATGTCGGGACCGGGCCTGTGTATGGGCCTACTGCCATTCTATTGACTGAGTCACCGTGACTAACCTCCCCATATTCGGTACTGATGTTATGCTCATTTTAAAATGTCATATCAATGCATATTTATAAAGTATCATATTACATTAGATTCACATATTATTCATAGAAGTCGATTATACATATAATTTAAGAATTTTTTATCAAAAGAAAAATAAGAAAAATAAAGTGAATTAGAAGACATGAAGCAGAGATCATGATGTTCATTATTAGACTTCTAATACTTAAAAGAATAGGTGTGATGCTCATTAAACGCACATTAATACTCATTTAACAGAAACCACAAGTTTCTCATAAATTACATAAATGACACCGATTCTACGATGTCCACATACAGCTAGGTGTACAGTATACGAGCTCACTATCACCGTGAAGCAAAACATTTCACTAAGTTGTATTTTGATCTTTAATAGAAGATGTTCTTTTGTTTATAATTTAAGATTTTTGAAAAATATTATTTAAATAAAAATTTATATAGATTAATAGTTATGTAGTACCATATATAGTATATTCATAGACTTATTTATAATTGTTACTTGATGGATAATGCCATTTTGGGCACTAAGTTGTCAAGATAAGAAGAATCAAATTAATATAATGTGTTTTAATACTTTAATATCCAGATTGGCTAAATCATTTGAATTGGCGGAATTGCTCAATTTTGAAAAAGTATTTTGAAAACATATGTTATCAATAAAATGAAGAAAGATTTATTGAAAATAGCTAGAATAATCCATTTTCTCAATTACAGGTAATTCAGTCTGAAAAATGGTTGTCAATCTCACTTATTGAAAAATGGTTGTCAACCTCACTTATTTCAATCATTACATCATCCATTGCTCGAAATTAAAAGTTATATATGTTAAACAAAAAGTTAGCTGATTGTTATACTAAAAATAGTACAGAGTAGTTAATAAAGGGGCTCTCTAATAAAGTTTGACTCTATATATACATTAAAAAGATCAAAATATTACTCCGGCTATGGCCAACACCAATTATGGACAATAATAGATGATTTAATATTTTACACCTTGATTTGATGATCCGATTAATCTATCTTTAAATAGTAAAATTGAAACGAAGTAATGAGAGTTTTCGTACAAGAGCAACATACGTTGTCCTATCACTATCCCAAAAAACGTTATCATTTTCAAAATTTTGACTAATTATATCTATTTATTGAAAAGTATTTATAATATACAAAGTATATAAAAATGCTTCTTGTTAAAAGTAATTCAATAAAAGTATAAAATTTATAATTTTTAAAATATTATACTAATCAAAACATGATTCCAATTTTTTGAAATGAAAAGGTTTTTTGGAACAAAGATAGTTACGGAGTATATTTTTTCTTACGAGTGTAGTTCAATTAGTAGATAGGAAGTGACATAAGTGGTACGTCTCAGACGCTAGACAACTACGATGAAATGTTAATATATAGGGAGAACTATCAAATAAATCCTCGAACTTTCATAAAAAGTGCAAATAAGCCCTTTTACAGGAGGCTCTGTCCGGTCGTTGCCATTTGTGGCGGTTTCGGTGGAATGTTTTGATTATATTTTTTAAGCATCATCTTCATTAAGTCTAGTTTACTCATATCAAAGTTAAGCTAAGAATTCAACATTTCACTTTTTTGAAGATGACTGCGCAGTTAGACAGCGCAGTATATTTCAGAAAATCATTTGACTGCCTTCTCGATTGAATTTTTAGCTGAAATTTGGTATGGGTAAACTATACTTAATGAAGAAGATGTTCAAAAAAATCATCAAAAAATTCTATCGGAAACCGCCTCAAATTACGACAGCCGGACAAAACCTTCTGTAAAAAAGACTTATTTGCACTTTTTATGAATGTTCGAGAGCTTATTTGATAGTTCTCCCTAATATATAAAAATACATGAAACCTGTGCAAGTATCTTAGCTATAACCTCACTTACTATTTGCTAACTTATAGTATATGCGTCCCCATAATATTTGGACGGAAGAGAGTGATGCGATTTTTAAGAAAAACATAATTATGTGGTTGATAAATAGTTGATAAAGTGCGAATAAAGTAAAAATGCATTAGATTTACACAAATATTACCAAATATGAATTGAGACAATAAAGGAGGGTATCCAAAAACGAAAAAATGAAACAATTATAGAGACAGAGAGAGCAATTAAAATTTAATTTACATTATTTCAGTTGACTATCTAGTTAGATTGAGGCCATTGGGATATAGTAATGTTTTATTTTGGGACGTATGTTTTAAAGTAAAAGTTGGAAAGATAAGCGTTGTCTTTTATTTTAGGAGATATAATAGGTGTTGAGCATTGAGACCCACTATTATAAGAGGCTTTCAAAAATTTAGAAATATTTGTTATAGATTGAATTTTCTAAATGATATGTATTATTCAAGATTCTAAAAGATATACTCCTTCTGTCCCGTAAAGAAGTTTCCTTTCGGTTTACGATGTTTGACTGATGATAAAATATCTCGATCCCTCTTCACACTCGGATTATTTTTAGTAAATAAAATTTACATATTCAGATACTACATTAAAACCGCTACAAAGCTTGATCAAAAAATTTTAAATTTGAAAGAAATTTGATAAATAAAGTACGAGGTAAAAGATTAGGAGTGATTTAAGTTGACCAATGAATAGTGAATGAGAATTTCATTTCGGGACGAAGATAGTATAACTTTTAGGCCTTCTAATTTTTTTGTTTTAGGGGTCCTAATTTGCCATTTGGAATCCGACCCTCCAAATTGATGAGAGGATGGGAAAGATAAATGTGACATGACGGGATGGTGTATTTAGTTCACAAGTCCTACCTAACAAAATAAACACCTGCCTACGTCACATACAGCTGGTGAATATATATCACCGAACGAATGGAAAATCATCCATCCCATCTCGCTCATTCGTTTCATCGTCCACGCCATTCCATTTCCTACCATTATCCTCCTCCTCCTCGCTTTTTTAAGATCAACTGAGTAAGCTTTTTTTGTTTAATCCAACCTGTTAAAAAACTGATATGTTATTATTGTTATTCATTTTCTTCATTATTCCACTAACTTTTTATATGGTTTTGTGCAGTGGGTTCTGAAATGGTGATGGTGGACGGAATCCCATTTCCACCCCATCTCAATTTGAACAATAACCAGCTCTCACTCATGGGTCACGGTAAATCAAAAGATTAATTACAAGTATTACTTGCACTATTAGGATTTAGGACTATTTTGGACTGGAATTTTCTAGTTTAATCGGTTTGAACTAGTCTGATTTGATAAATGTCTGATCTTTGTATATTTTATAAATATTTAAGTCGATATATCAGATTTTGCTTCTTGCCAGAATAAATATACAAATGAATAGTTTAAAATTTGATGCAACAGGGATTACTGATGTTGAGATCCATTTCCTCCAAATAAAGTACACAGCAATTGGAGTTTATTTGGACCCTGAAATTGTGTCACATTTAAACCAATTCAAGGGGAAAACACCAGCTGACCTCTCTCAAAACGAGGACTTCTTTGAAGCTATTATTAATGGTATATATATATATATATATATATATATATATATATATATATATATATATATATATATATATATATATATATATATATATATTCAAATTAATACTTACTGTTGTTATTCTTTTTTTGAATCAATTCTTATTATTGTTATTGAGAACTGTTAGTTTGTATGCAGCACCAGTGGATAAAATACTGAGAGTGGTGGTGATAAAGGAAATAAAAGGGTCGCAGTATGGGGTGCAGCTAGAGAGTGGAGTGAGGGACTTTTTGGCAGAGGCTGATAAATATGATGAGGAAGAGGAAGCTGTTCTTGAGAAAGTAGAAGCATTTTTTCAGTCCAAATATCTCAAGACAAATTCTGTCATCACATTTACTTTCCCAGCAGCTAACACTGCCTCAGCTAAGGTGTGTGTATATTTATTAGTCATGTACCTACCTATTCTAGATTGGTTTACATTAACTAAAAGATTCTGAGGATATGAAATTTTACTATGATTCTGGTAAAAGAAAATATAACATTTCTTCGGTAAAAGAAAATTAACATTTCCGTATCACTTTTATATTACGAATAATTTTAATCGCTATAATGTGGAACAGATTGTGCTGACAACAGAGGAGAAAGATGAGTCGGGCATTGATGTGGAGAATGCAAATGTTGTTGAAATGATGAAGAAATGGTATTTGGGTGGAAGCAGGGCGGTCTCTCCCAGCACAATCTCCTCCTTGGTCCATACACTCTCCATCTAATCTTTCTAGCAAGCTCCCATGGCTGTAATAACTAGTGGCTGTATTTTACCATTTCTTGTCTTCAATTCAATAAAGTTTGTTTCATTCTATATTTGTAAGAATTAATATGTTTACTTGCTTGAGTAAATTTTGGCCTGTATCGGTTTATCTCTTGATTCTCTTCCATATGGATGGACTCGACCCGGTGGCCCGACCCGGAACCGGCCCGGGACCAGCACCGTTCCGGCCCGACCCGACCCGGTGGCCCGGTCAGTGACCGGTCCGGGTAGGCCTGACCCGTGGGTTTTCCGATCCGGGCTCGGGTCACCCAAAACAAGGCTCGACCTGGCTCGGGCCCGGTTCGGGCCAAAACTATTTTTTTTTTCAATTTTTTTTTAAATTTTCGGGTTGAGCTAGGTATTTTGGGCCATTTGGGGTGGTTTGGGGGTTGGGGGTGGGAGGGGGTTAATTAGGAAGAGAGGAAAAAAAAATTGATAATGGGCCCGGCCTGGTCCGGACCTGTGGTTACCCGGGCCGGTCCCGGGTCCACCACTCCTGAACCGCCGGCCCGCCCCGGACCTGGCCCGGACCCGAGTCCACCCCTACTCTTCCATGCTTATTTCATTTCCACTTTAGAAATAAATTTGCCATTGAATTTTACTTTTTTGATGTTATACGGAGTATATGTTAATAAATAGTTTGAATAAAGGATATGTATTTAGAATTAATGTAAATTGTAAATGAAGAATTATATCTTAAAATGAATTTATATCAAGTGTAAAAATGAATATATAAAGTTAGGTATCTTAAAATTTGATTGAAATTTAATGAATTTGATTATAATGTATGGAATGAAGTATAATGTGAAATGTAAAGAAATTATATTATTTGCAATTTGATTGAAACTTTAAAAAGAAAAAGATAATGGATGTAGTAGAATTAAAGTTTAGAAGGAAAAAAAAAATTATAGAAATTAATTCAAATAGGATTAAAACTATGGCAAAAACCTAAAATAGGACTTGCTATGTTTTTATTCCAAAATAGGACCATATGAGTCCTATTGGAAACATACCTATTTTTGCATTCCATTCTTACCCTTCCATTAAATATGAATTAAAAATAGTCAAAAGCCATAATTAAATGTTTAATTCATAATAAATTCGGAAAAAATTCAAAAATTCGTAGAAATATAATTAAAAAATTTATAAAATTTTTATAAAATAAAAAATTCAAAAACCTTTTTTTAAAAAAATAATTTTATTTTTAAAAAAATTCATAAAAAATAGTAAAACTCCGTAAAAAAAATTTAAAAAAATATGGATGCCTTTCCCACCGCCTGTACTACCTCCCAGCACCACCACCTCCGGCCGATGAAAAAAATGCCATTTTCCCAGAAAAATGCCATTTTTTTTCTGAAAATGCCAAAAAAGTGGCATATTTCTCTTTTCGAATGCCAACATTTTCATTTTTTCTGCCATAAATATGGCATTCGTAATGAACTTGGCATTTTTTTCCCTGGTGACTGGAGGTGGTGGTGCTGAGGCGGCAGAGGCGGCGACGATTTTTTTTTGAGTTTTTATTTTTTTTTAATTTTTTTTTTAATTTTTTAAATTTTTTTAATTTTTTGAAAAAAAAATTAATTAAATTTTTAATATCGAAATGTTTTTCTTAATTTTTTAGTATTTTTTACGAATTTTTATTATTTTTTATTATTTTATTAGGAATTAAAACATTTTAATAGCTATAAGGGTATAATTGTCCAATGTACACATAATTAGTCCTATGTAAACATAGTTTATTTTTTGGACCTATTTGTGAAAAGTGAATGACTTTTAGTCCTATTTTGATAATTATTATGGTTTCGAACCCCTAACCTCACACACGGAGGACGCTAAACGCATGCTCATTTCTGTCCACTGCACTGGAGTGCTGGTTATTCTATATCTCTGTAAACATGGTATATATTATGCATATTCAGCACACAAACATATAAATAATTTTAGTTTTTAATATAAATATATGGGGTTGGGTGGGGTTGAGTGGGGCAGCTGCATCCTGCCCCCAACATGGTATTTGTGTTTGCTTTCAGTTTTGGTAAGGTGATTATTTTTATATTATTCAACAATGATTAACGCTAGAAGTTGATAAAGATTGAATAAATTTTGAAAAGGCAAGAGATTATAATAGTTTTAAATTAGAGTGTATGACGAAAATTCATTTTTGTGTGTAATCAATTCAAAAGTAACATGTATGAATGAAAAGTTATTGGAGTACAAAAGTGTTGATTATTGACTTCTTGTGGTCATTAGCCAATTAACAATTCAAATAAAGCATATAGCGAGCACATGGTAGACATACTCAATAATATCACACTTAAATTTAGCTTTTTCATTAATTGATCTTTCAGGGTGTAAATGATCACTTAACTGATTCAGGTGGTGTTTGGAAAATGGTGTTTCAGCCAAAAAATGGTGTTTTGATCGTTTTTAGCGTTTTCAATAAATGAAAACGCCGCTTAGTAAATAGATGTTCCGCTTTAGCATTTTTGAACGAAACCGTTGAAACAAAAATGTTGTAAATATGAGAGTTTTGAGTTAGCGTTTTGAAAAACGATGTTTTATACTAATTTTTATTGCCGAAACAGCTAAATTACCAAACATCTATCGACAACCCGTCAACTTATTCTACTAGTCAAACACGCTGATTGAATCTGCTATAGAGAACCCGCTAATATAACCCACTATCCTTTAACCGCTTACCGCTAAATGCTAAACACACCAAAAATGAGTAGAGGAATGGTGCTAAATAGGAGCTTAAGTTTCCATATGTAACTAAATAGGACATTGACTTTTTTAACTCTTAAATAAGACTTACTTTCCCGTTTCTTCCACATTTACCCTTAATCCCTATTTCCTTTTGTCTTCTTTGTCGACAAAGTCACAGAGAATTAATTTCTCTTTCATACGGCACATGTGGGAGCGGCTTCTTGGCCGAACAACAGAACCGGCACACTAAGATCGAATTAGATGAGGCGAGCAATTGCGCGGAAGTGACGGCGGTGTTTGGCAGACCTGAGCCTAAGACCAAAGGGACAATAGACGGCGAGTCGGTGAGGAAGAGGTGCAAGGCGGCGCCCGAGAACGGAAAAGATGATACAGATCTATCTTCTTCTTCTCCTCCTTGCTGCTCTACTTGATGTCTGCCGGAGAAGACGACTAATAACATGAGTACGGCCGATTGGCTTCTGACGGGGATATGAGTTCGAATTGTTTGCCGTAAAAATATGTTCTGTTTTAAGCCGGAGGTCTGAGACCGGTCAACGTCGGACGATGAAAGGAACTAAGGTTCCTTAAGGAAACCGGGTTGCCGGGGTGGGCGGGTTGCTAACTATGGATAGCAAGATGGTCTTGTTTGCTGCTATGGGCCACCGTTGGACTGAGCTACGAAGGATTCTATTTGGCCAAAAAATCCGGGCACTGCACACCAGTAATGCTGGCTAATTACATTCTTATGATAGTCTTAGTAGATTCACTCGATCATGCTGAATTTACTCACATTCATTTACAAAATTTACTCATATATACTTGATGTATAGAGTGGTTGTTCCATTTTAATGTATGTATCATTGAATTTATCTTTTGCACTAGAACTGTTTGATGAAATGTCTATATGAAAATTGTCCTTGTTTTGCATTTTTTAGTTGACAAGAGTTTTGGACAATGTTTACAATAATGTCACATTGACATTGTTTTTCAAAATGTCATTTTTCTAACATTAACATTGTCACGATAACTTCATTGACATTGTCACAACAATGTCATTGAGTTACATTGACATTGTCATCACGACAATATCATTGACATTTTTATGACACTTTTATGACATTATCATCGTGATTAATTGACATTACAACATTTTTTCGACATTGTGACTTTTTTTATAAAATTAACATTGTCATAATTACAATGTCATTTTATAGTATCGATAATGACATTGCCATTGTGACATTTTCTTAACCCGGTGACATTTTCATACGTTTTTATGACATTTTTATGACATTCTTTTGACATCCACATTGTTTATATATAACATTGTCATTGTCACGACATTATTTTTACTGCAATGTTTTAATCAATGACATACATCACATTGTCAATTTATACAATGACTTGATGATGCTGTAAATGAATAAGATGATCGTGATTGTAGTATATCTCAATGACAATGTCATTGGCTTTGTTATGTCATTGACATTGTAATGTCATTGGCATTGTAACGACATTGATAATGTTATGTCATTGACATTGCTATATATATGACCACCGGTGATATTGTTATGTAATTGAAATTATTGTTGGTATTTAGTTTTTGACAATGCCATTTTTATAGCATTTTTAGATATTCAAACATTCTTAATACATTATAAACATGTTTATAATATTGTAACATTGATATGGTTTTGACAATGTCATTTTTATAGCATGATATTGTCACAGCATTATTGACATTATCATTGTTGCAATGTCATGTTTATAACATTGACATTGATTTTCAGAAAGTCTTTACTTGACATTGTGACATGTTTCTGCTAGTGTAACAACTTTTTCTACATTTTAATAATATTTACACAAATAATCCATAAATAAAATCTACACATGCATATATAAAATCATATAATCTAAATGAGGCTTCAAATGATATTAGAAGGGAGCAAAGAATGTAAAACTTGATCGGCGTGTCGCTATATGTGACTGAAATCAAAGAAAGAAACATAAAATAAAAATTATGCGTGCAACAAGTTGAGATGGTCTTGCACCATTACCGCATGCTTCTCCATCAAATCACTACTTTCAATACTTAATTTTGCACCTTTGCTTTGATCGATCTCGTAGACGATGGTGCACACCGCAAAATTGAAGGTTTTCTGGCAGCGATAAATCAACGCTCAAGCGTCTGGGCACATGTACGATGGCGGCGGCGTTCTGCGATGGCGGCATCAGCGATCTGCAATGGCGGTGTCGACGATATGCGATGGCGGCGGTGACAATGTTTGATGGCGGTAGTGAATCTAGTGATGCAGGGGAGGTTTGCAGTGATCTTGAGCCTTGGCGGTGCGTTGCGATCCGTTGGCTGGCATCAAGGATGGACTTGTTTAACGGGAACAGGGGTAGTTTTGTCCCTTCAGTCATAAATTAGTCCTATTTAGGAGTTTAAAAGTTCTAGGTCTTATTTACGTACCATCCATATGTTTTAGTGCTATACATATCTTTATCCCAAATGAGTAAGAGTATTTAAACACACAAAAAATCAGGTTGTCTTTCATATTACAACATACTTCCAAAAAGAGTCAAACAACCAATACTCCATATATATTAACGATTGCAAATCGTTGCATCATACGGAGTAACAAATTTATATTCCACGTAAGTAGTGCGAAACCATTGCAATTGTTTTGTTCGAATCCCAATGTCACTTTCATTCATTCAATAGCTGCTATGGGGGACTCATAAAAATAAAGTCACAGGGTCATTATTACTCACTCCGTCCCTCTAACTTTTTCCCGTTTTAACTTTTCCATTCGTCCCATTAAGTTTGTCACGTACCACATTTGATAATATTTAGGTGGTTGCAATTCATTTTTACTTTATTTATACTTTATCAATTCAACTAGCGGTGTACGCACTACGTGCGATGGGTGCCCAATGCAAATAGTTAAAAATGTGTAATATTTAAGAAAATTTTAAAATGTGAGGAATTCAAATACTA